CCTTCCTTCCTTCCTCTCTCTCTCTTTCTTTCTCCGTCTCTCTCTCCCTCATTCTCTCCATTTTCTTCTTTCTCTCCCTCTTTTTGTCTCTTTCTTTCTGTCTCCCTTTCTGTCTTGTCTCTCTCTTTCTTTCTTTTCCTCTCTCTCTCAAACTCTCTCTCCCTCCCTCCCTCCCTCTCTTTCTCTCCCTCTCTCCCTCATTCTCTCCATCTTGTTCTTTCTCTTCCTCTTTCTGTCTCTCTCTCTTCCTCTCTCTCTCTCTCTCTCTCTCTTTCTTTCTTTCTTTCTTTCTCTTGCCATCCATCTTGAAACAAAACAACACTGGGTGGCTTTACAACTGTTTGCGGCATCCTGCGGCCATCACGTGACCCTGATATACAATGCGCTTTTTGATGACGTTTAACCACAAGAATCAGAGAGGCCACTGGGTCCGCTTAACAACCATGGATTTGCTTAACAACCCTATCGATTTGCTTTATGACCACTGCAAAAAAAGTTTCACAAAATCAGGTTGGCCTGCTTAACGAGAGGCAGGACTTAGGACTGTAATTTTGGGGCCCCATTACAGCCACAGGGCTGGGAGTATCTGCAGTCATGAACATTTGATGCCGTAACATTTTTTCTTGTTTCAGAAATTCTTTCGGGTTTTTTTTCCCCCCCCTCCGCAGGTCATCAAAGCTGGAGTGGAGACCACTTGTAAATGCCACGGAGTGTCCGGCTCCTGCACTGTCCGGACATGTTGGCGCCAGCTCTCTCCCTTCCACGAGATCGGCAAGCAGCTCAAGCAGAAATACGAGATGGCCCTCAAAGTGGTCAGCACAACCAACGAGGCCACGGGGGAAGGGGACATCTCCCCAGCCAAGAAGTCCATCCTGGGCCACGGCGACCAGATCCCCAGGACTACAGATCTGGTTTATCTCGACGATTCTCCGAGCTTTTGCTTGTCTAGCCGGTTCTCCTCCGGGACGTCCGGCCGGAAATGTTACAAAGACAAGAACTGCGACAGCATCTGCTGTGGGCGGGGACACAACATCCAAAGCCGCGTGGTCACTCGTCCGTGCCAGTGTCAGGTCCGCTGGTGCTGTTACGTGGAGTGCAAGCAGTGTACGCAGAGAGAGGAGGTTTACACATGCAAGGACTGAAGGAGTTGTGTCCGACGAGCCCCAACTTCGGGGACGGATCCTCCTGGCCCCTTTCCTCGAGACAAGACAAAAACGGGGACGCCCGGTGCGATGGCCGAGCGCTACCCTGACGTGATGGAAGCACTTTGAAGGGGTTCCATGCCTTGCTGACCCAGTCTCTTCCTCAGCGAAGAGATTTCGGACGGCAGCACCAATGGAAGACCCCTTGCGATGTCCAAGATGGCGGCTTGGAGACCGGGAAGGATTTTTTTTCTCTCTTCTTGACGACGACGCGGAGGCTGAATTGTCCACCTTCCGTGTCGCCCTCCCGAGAATTCTCTTGGACCTGGATGGTTCCACTCCGTTTTGGGAGAACCCCCATTTCCTGAAGGCCCTCAACGGCAGGAGATGTTCTAGGGAGAAGAGGGCCTTGGAAGGAATTTTTCTTTTAAAAAAAAGAAAGAAAGTAATTTATGGAGTTTCTGGCCTCCAGAAGGCCCAAATCAGAAGCCTACGTCCCATTAGTCAGTCGCAGAGGTCACTTACATAAGGACGGTTCCTCAAAACGTTCCTCCTAACAGCTTGTTGTAGCAGATGGTGAAGATGTGGGTTTTTGTTTTAAAATTTTATTCTTATGTGCCCTCGGCCTCTCTTTCTTTGCTCTCCGTTGCAATCCACTTGGTGAATTTGGGAAACCACTAGCAACAAAAAGAGCCTGAGATCTTCTCAACTGGTGTTTTGATTCCTTCGGTGATTTCATTAGGACCTTCTTCTTCTTCTTTTTGCCCCAATTTCTCTCTTCTTATGACTTCAGTTGGCACCCCGGGGCTGCTTCAAAACCAGCGTGACGTCCTGGCTGGGAATGCCATTTGGCACTCGGCCTTCGGAAGACGGAGAAAACACATCGCCTTCGAGACACGACTGATGAGGCTTCGTTTTTTGTTTTTCACACGTCTGGATCAGGGCGTCCAAGAATGCGTGTCTCTTGAGGGTCACATTTCACCCGCCTTTCTCCGTAGCTGAGTAGCTGATGATATTCTCCGGGGCTGATTAAAAGCCTGTTTCTTTTTTCTTTTTTTTAGAAAAGCCCCCAAATGACTTAAACCACTAGAAAGCTGCACGTGTTAGATGTAAAGCAGCCAGCAGCCAATTCTTGTTCCTGTAGGTCAGAAGGGAAAATAATAATAATATATATATATGGAGAAATATCAAAATGGCAGGCTGGATCACTTGTACAGGTAGTTCTTGACTTACAACTGTTTAGTGCCCAAGTTAACAAAAAAGGCACTGAAAAAAGTGGCCTACGACCATTTTTCACACTTGCGACCGTTGCAGTATCCCCCATGGTCACGTAATCAAAATTAAGACGCTTGGCAACTGACTCGTATTTATGACAGTTGCAATGTCCCAGGATCATGTGATCCCCTTTTACGACCTTCTAACAAGCAAAGTTAATGAGATTCACTTAATGACCATGTTATCAATTTTAACAACTGCAGTGGTTCACTTAACAGCGGTCGCAAGAAAGGTCCTTAAAACGGGGCAAAACTCCCTTAACCACATGAATTTTGGGCTCGGTTGAAGTCATAACTTGAGGACTATCTGTACAGGTGTGATGGTCAACAGAGCATTCTTCTGTCATGTGAACTGGGGAATATTACAAATATTCAACTTTTTATTTTTGCTTCAAGATGGGACTTGGATGAACAGCTGATAAATTCCTGGGTGAATTGTCCACGCGTGATGGGCAGTTGATTTTAAAACCGGTCCAAGTGTTGCATTTTATTTTATTTTTGTCCTGGGGAATTGCAATTTGACCCGTTGGAGGAGCAGAGCAGAAATCTTAGAATAACATAGTTGGAAGGGACCCTTGGAGGTCATCTATTCTACTCCAATTCCCTCCAACGTTTCTTGCACATTCTCGTCTGGGAAATCATCCCTGCTCTCAGGCCCAATTTTAGGGGTGTTTTTTGAACAAAATAATAATAATAATAATAAACAGTAGCAGCTTCTGTCAAAGCTGTCCTTCTTGGGAATGGATGAATTTGGAGGAGATGATGACCTGGGGAGATGAAGAACGAGAGAGTGGCTTGGTTTCAACATTGGTGGGATGGGCCCAAGATGGATTAGAGGAGTGACCGAAAAATGGAAGATAGCTCCTAGCTTTGGGACGTTGCTTGTAACAGGTATGAAATACATCCATGAACTGGTCTCAGGTCTTGATCGTGGCCTGATATAGACCATTCCCGAAGCTGTGCGCCCAGGAATCTCTTCGCCCAAAGGACCCCCTCTAGCTCCGTGCAACGGATTGAAAACCAAACGAAGACTGAAAAAGACTCTTTTTTATTATTTCAAGGGTGGAATATGAGTCTATCTAGATACGTTCCCGATGCCTAGATCTAAATATTGAACGTTTATTTATTAAGCTTTGCAGAAGTTTGTATGGTTTCCATGTGGTATTATGAAACGGGGGCCTCTCGTATGAACATGTGAGTACTCCGGGTTTTTATTTTGGGGGAGTTTTTTTTGCACGCTGGTATTTTGAACCCGGATTCCCGAAGGGACTCTTTAATTTTTTTTCCCCAACACTGTAAGGCCTGACCTTTGAGCAAGCTGCAGCCTCATTTTTCTTCCTTTTCTTTTTTTCCCTTTTTGATCAATGTTATTTGGAAAGAGAGGGTTTCGGAGCGACTTGGAAGGCTCCGTCTGGAAGTCTGGTTTTCATTTAGCTCTAAGCCCAGCGGTGGGTCCTGTTTTTGACATTCCTGCTTGACATTGGAACAGCTCCCCTCGAGGGTTTTGGGGGAAGGTTTTGGGGGAAGGGGAAAACTGGAGAAATGGGACTTGTGAAGTCCTTGGTGATCACTGAACTTGGCGGTTTTCTCGCAGACGTTTCATTGCCTAACTATGTTAGCACCGGTGATGTTGCCTAGTGGCATCATGAAATGTTTGAAAGAAAACCACCAAGCTCAGACACCAAGGACCCCATAGTCCTCCTCCCCCCCCCACAAACACCTCTCCTTTTAACACCGATGATGTTCCTTAGTTGGCCCATGAGACGTCTGCAAGAAAACCACCAAGCATCTTCCTCCTTCCCCTTCCCAACCTAATCTTCTTCCTCCTCCTCTTCACAAACACCACTTCCTTCTATCACTGATGACAGCCCCTAGTTGGGTCATGAAACATCTGCAAGAAATCCACCAAGCTCAGGGAGCACTAAAGACTCCACAGTTGTCGTCCTCCTCCTCCTCTTCTCCTCTTCTCCTCCCACAAGCACCTCTCCTTTCTAGCATGAATGACGTTCCCTAGTTGGCTCATGAAAGGTCTTCAAAAAAAGCATCAAGCTTAGACAGCAGCCAGGACCTCTCGGTTCAATCCCAAGCAACAAATATTCTTTCCTTTTGTTAGACACACCTCGTTTTGGGCTATAGCCTTCATTTCTGGAGAAGAAGGGCGGAGGAGAAGTCCCAAATTCCCCTTTCCCGTTAGTGGGAATATTCTTGGGCGCTTGGCCAACCAGAGATATCCAGAAATGGGAAAATCCTTCCATACACCAGACCCTTCTGTCAAGTTATTTAAAATTATTTACATTTATGGAGCGGTGGTGACTTCAAAAGTCACTTGTCCATGGCTGCTTCTCAACATTGGGAAATCTTGATACAATTTTTCTGCTTGATAAGGTAAAGAGAATATTTTTTTCCTCTGGGCCACTATCTCAGATATCTGGTCTAAAGATGGCTTAAAGAAGATCTTGCAGTCTTGCAGGATTTTGAATGCTCTTGGGATTATAGAAATCTCATCTCAGTTTTGGAGATGGCCTTGCTTGATTTTTGAAGGCTGTGCCTGAAATTACAGGTAGTCCTCGGCTTATGTCTGTTTAGGGACCGTTCAAAGTTACGACAGCACTGAAATACCCGACATGACCATTTTTTCACAGTTACGACTTTTGCAGCATCCCTACGATTGCATGATCAAAATTCAGAAGCTTGGCAACTGACTCATACTTACGACCGCTGCTGTGTCCTGAGGTCACGTGATCACCTTTTGTGAATTTCTCATAAGCAAAGTCAATGGGGAAGCCATTGATTCACTTAACAACCAGATTACTAACTTATCAACTGCAGGGATTTACTTAACAACAGTGGCAAGAAATGGGGCAAAACTAACAAATGTTTCACTTATCGACAGAAATGTTGGGCTCAGTTGTGGTCGTAAGTTGAAGATTACTTGTATCGACCAAGGTTCACTGGAGAATGCTCACATCCTACCTAGTTAGGATCCTGGTTTAATCTGTTTCAGTGTTCTACGAGCTCTATGGATTAACCTTGCATTTAAGTTTCTCCTTCTAGCACAATCGTAGGTTAGGAACCCCTTGTGAACGTGTTCAAAAGGCAAACAGGCCACCATCTCATCTCAGACATTATCAGAGTTCAGGGAACTGGGTTACAGGAAGTTGAACCAGCGAGGTGATGGCTTTCTCTGAACTTTCTTTCTCTAAAGCAATGTTTCTTAATCTTGGCAACTTTCAAGATGGCTGGACTTCAACTCCCAGAATTCCTCAGCCGGAATGCTGGCTGGGGAATTCTGGGAGTTGAAGTCCACACACTTTAAAATAGCGAAAGTTGACAAACCCTGTTTAAGAAATGTCACATAAGCTTGCAATCCTGGAGCAATTGTACCCCAAAACAAATGGGTCAAACAGTTCATTTTTAAATAGATTTTTACTTCCTCAGGCTTGGCACAAATCTCTCCTTGGGAGGGAAACAACGAACTGGTGAAATTCACACAACCTGCTAAACCTAGATCACAAAACATAGCTATTTCTGTTGTGAACCATAACTAAATTGACCAGACAGGCTGAGTTTGCACCAAAAGCTAAGCCAGCATGAAATTAATGTAAATATGTTCAGGTGCCAGGTCTTTAACCAATCCAGTTGAACATGTTGCGTGAACCAAGGCTGGTGTCATGTTTTTTGTTGTTTTTTTTAAAAAAATGCAACTGTGGATTGCCAAAATGATGCTTATTCTAACCAGTATGCATAAGATTACAGGTAGTTCTCAACTTACAATGGTTCATTTAGTGACTGTCCAAAGTTATCATGGCACTGAAAAAAGCATCATTGTAGCATCTC